GCCATCTCAAAGCCCCTTCACTATGTGACCCTCATGAGTAAAGGAAGGTGCTTTGGGCTCTTGGTAGCCTCCTGGGTGGGGGGCTTCATACACTCCATTGTACAGATCTCTCTGTTGCTCCCACTCCCTTTCTCTGGACCCAATATCATTGATAGTTTCTACTGTGATGTCCCCCAAGTCCTCAAACTTGCCAGCACTGATACCTTTGTTCTAGAGATCCTTATGATCTCCAACAATGGTCTAGTTGCCACATTTTGGTTCTTTCTACTCATTGTGTCCTACACAGTCATCATGGTGATGCTGAGGTCTCATACAGGAGAGGACAGGAGGAAAGCTATCTCCACCTGCTCCTCCCACATCACTGTGGTCACCCTGCATTTTGTGCCCTGCATTTATGTATATGCTAGGCCCTTCACTGCCCTTCCCTCTGACCGGGTCATCTCTGTCACCTTCACTGTCATCTCCCCTCTCTTGAATCCCCTGATTTACACCTTGAGAAACCAAGAGATGAAGTCAGCCATGAGAAGATTACACAGACGGCTTGTGTCTTCTGAAAGGTAACTGGCTCTGTGCTAATGGGGAACTAGGAAAGATAGAACCAAATTCCATTGCTCAAAATCCTTCTGAGGGGTGCAACATAAAAGACAATTATGCAGTCAAAGTTATAATAACCATTAGGACCTACTAAAAAAAACCTTGAAACTATATTAGTATTTGTCCTCTCCTAATGCCTGAATTAGGGTGGTAGGTATGTGGATGGAGACAAAATGGGAATGAGATATTTTATCATGGTAGAAATGAAATACATTTGGCAATAGATTGAATCTGTGGGGTGAGTGAGGCATTGGAAATGAGTCTTGTTTATCCTTTGTTCTAGAAGAGGAGCATGACATTAGAGAGGTGATGTCATGACATGCAAGTGAATTGGATTTAAGTGAGTTAGGGCTGTGCAAAGTCACAAGCCTCACTTTCCCCTCAGGAGCCATCTGGGTCCAGTAGCCAGTTATAGATCAGGACTGGAGATAGCCCTAATTGACAAGGAGAATGGTAGCACATACAACCAATACAAGACAGTCAGAAGAAAGGGGAAATAACAATCTTGGTTGCACTTACCTCACAAGGCTGTTGTGATGAAAGGGCTTTATATATCTTAAGGTTCATGTAAATGTGAATTGTTATTACATCCCAAATGGGTGATGTTTAAAATCAATGAGAGAATCCCTAAAACACCAAATGGTCACTATTTCTGTGGTAAACACTACAGGAAGGCAGAGCTTGTCCTAAAAGAACAAAATGGTCTTTTGCAGAGAAACCACTGAATGTAACAATGAGCAATGTTTTACATAGTCATAGAAGGGGCACAAGGCTGTTATCCCAAGTGTCGAAGGTGAGGTATGTAATGAGATTCATCTACTCTACAGACCCACCTTCACCAAGTGACTAATTATCTTGGCTTTCTTTGCTACAATAGAGAAGTTTTCATTTTTGGGTGGGGAAAAGGGAGAAGAGAGTATTTCCAGAAATGACTGTGATGTAAAAGGAGAAAAAAGCACCAACAGCATTTGTTTCCAGAACAATTTGCTTAAGGCCTCTGGGGCTTAAGGTAAGAAAGCACTGGAGTGGGGCAGCAAGGTGGCACAGTACATACAGCACCAGCCCTGGAGTCAGGAGGACCTGAGTTCAAATCCAGCCTCAGGCACTAGACACTTACTAGCTATGTGACCTTGGGCAAGTCACTGAACCCCATTGCCTAGCCTTCCCCACCCAAAAAAAAGCACTGGTGTCTAGGGATGAAAGTGGAGTGGTCCCAAAGGCACAAGGAAAACTGCAAGTCAGAAGGAGAGGAGGCACAGATCTCAGTTATAATTTTCATAATGGTACCTTGTTTTATCTCATGTGCATCTCCTCCAGGCCCAGAACTGTTCTCTGGCCACAGTAGGCTCTTAGCATATATTTGCTGATAAGAAAGATGAGGAATAAAGGAGTGTAAAGGAGGATAACCAAACCGTCTCAATCCATCAGTGAGTTAGGGGGGTGTCTCCCCATGCATATGAAGACTTCGCCTGGTGGAATGGGTGAATGAGAACAACTTGTTCCAACGGCCATGAAGTCAGCTGAAGCAGACACTGTAGAGCGCTTA